TTGCAACAGAAACATCACAAGCACAAAGGGACTGGAAAGAGATAGGCAAAGTACTGAAGAAAAAGACTTCCAGTCCAGAATAAGATTAAGTCCCAATAAGATCAACAAGATAGAAGGAAGAGTAAGGAGCTTCAAATGAAAAGCAAAAACTTAAAGAATTTATCAACACCCAGCTGCATATGAAAGATCATCCTAAAGGGGTTATTATAAAGCAACAGAACAATGATTATCAAGACAAAAGACACCTAAGTTACTTACAATGGAAGAGGAGGAAGGTAACAATGTCATCCATTAGAGTCAGCCAGAGACTAGACCATCCAAAGGTCACAGCAACAGGTTGCTGCATAGCCTCAGTAGTCTATCATATACTAACCTCAGTAGAATCCTCAAAATAGAAGTAACACATAAGATAATGGAAATAGAACCTAAATAAAATGTAAGAGGAAGCCCTAAAAAAAAAAGACAAGAGAAAAACAAACAAAAAAAAGGCACTAACACTTACATCTCAATACTCACCTACATGTATGTTTGTGTTCACTTTATCATTAATTTAAAAACTGAACAAATGCTTTATACATACTTCTATATGTATGCTCTATAAAAATAAAAATACCGAACTGGAAATCTGGACTCTTGCAACCTGTGGTCAAACTCTAAGCTGTAGTCATACCTGCTGGGGCCACTCCTAGTCAGAGGGATTCCCCCAGATCTTCCCTGACATAGTGTCACAACTGATAAGATGACCTGGGTCAGGTGGTGCCTTCCAGCAGGTGAGGCCAGCATGGGGCAAGAAGGGCAGAAGATGCTTCCTCGAAGGTGTTTCATGGCCTGGCATTTCCTGGTAACATCAGCCAGGGACTCTGTCTTCCCCTTTTTATGACCTTATTTCTGCTGTGACCCTTGTCACAGGAACTTGGCATAGTCCACTTTGATCTTACAATTCTTGCTGGAGCTTTCACATGGAGAACCAGCATTACATGTAAGTATTTTTTTTTTTTTGTCTGATGATTTCTCCAACTTTATAATCATTTGTGCTTTAGATTATTTTCTTTGGGGAAGTTGTGTTTAGCATGCCCATATTTCTCACTTCCGAGGCACTTCCCACTCCTTCCAAGCTGTTTGTAACTGCTCCCAATGCAGCAGCCCCACATATGAACTCAGTCTCTTGTTCAATGAACATCTAGGCACGTGGGCACTGTACTCTGGGTGTGGGTCAAGAGTGCTACCGTATGAGCTTACTAGCTCACTAGGTGAATACCGCATTTGTCAACAACTCGGAAAAAATAGTCAGGAAGTTAAACTTTAGCATCCACTCAAAAAATCCAAACAGAAAGCACAGAGTATCCCGACTTTGGCTCTCTCATTTGGTTCTGCCTGAGTCATACTCTTTCTCAAGTTTGTTCAAGGCACGGGACTCATGCCCCTTCGCTCTTTGCTGGAAGGTTTTCATCCCAGAAGCTTCTTATAGCCCTGCTCAACCGTCTCCTGCTTTCACTGCCTGCACTGATTCTAGAGGACAACGTGCATGGACGTTACCACCATGGAAAAGTTTTGACTTTATCTTAAAATTGTTTTTTGCTTTGAGCTATTTTCTTCTTTTTCTCTGTCAAACAAGAAAAGAAAGTTCTAGGATATTTCTTTAGGAAATTGCTGTACAAAAATCTATCATGTGAGCTTTTACTATGTCTGAGCTTCTAGTAGTAGAAGGGAAAACAGAGAAAGACTGTAAGTCTAACAAACTCAAAAGTATAAAGGGATTCTTGCTGCTTTTTATGCACCCACCCATCACTAATAGGACTCCAATCACAGGCCACACAGTGGCAAGCCACCTTTGATACCAATAGGGGGCGCTGCTGTGGGGGCCCAAGGCCTCCTCTTCCCTTGTCCACACAGCGTCCCTGCAGGAGCTGCCTCCCCTCCATGGTGGCCTCTTCCATGTTAAGTCAGCACCTTTTGAAGTTCCTCATTCTCTCCCTTCCTAACCACTGACTCCACCCTGAGAAACTTCAGCTTGACTCTGTCTTATAGAGACTTCCGAGCAGAGGTTAGCACAAGTCCTAGAGTCAAAATGTCTGAATTAAATCCCACTCCCACCATTTGCTGACTATAGAACCATATTCTCTGTGTGCTTCAGTTTCATCATCTGTGAACACAGTTAGTAGCTAGTTCTTAGGGCTGTTGTAAGGATAAGGATAAAGTGAGCAATGTAAGATAGACCTTGCTCTGGCCCAGGCACCATTCTAAATGCTTTACACATATTAACACATACAAAGAACTCTTAAGAATGCTTGCTGGCATACAGTAAGTGCACAATAAATGTCAGCTATTTTCCTACTTGCCTCTAAACGGGTTAACAGCTGAAATCTTTCAACAAAATTTCAAATCTTACAGAAAGACAATCTCACAGGGGTCTTCTGAATTGCTGCAACATCCATGGACAGTCAAACCCTCAGCCCACACTGAGTAATAAGTAAGTCCAAGCAGTGAACTAAATCAAAAGTAAAATTCCTAAATGGTAACCCAAAGCCTTGGCACCAAAGCAGGGTGATGACAGGCCTTGCAGTCAGTTGGCCTGGTGTAAAGCCTGCTCTGGCCCTCACTGGTTCAGCTGCCTTGGGTTTCCTCCGCTGTAAAGTGGAGGTAAGGTGTTATCCCCTGACCTGCTCCTCTGCTCAATGAGCTGTAAGCTCACTGGCTCCAGGGATCTTTCCACCCTTGTGCAGTCACTAGCAAGGGATGCAAGTGAAGGCTAAGCAAAAAGAGCAAAGAAGATAGTGATCTTGGTGAAAAGTGGGAACTGTAAGCTAGAAGTAAACAGAAATTAAACTTTGGGATGTCTCCATCCCAGGCTAACCTCCACTGGGGGACTCGGGCTGACTCAGTGTGTGTCTGAGCTTAGGTCTATGTATAGACATCAATAAGCATTCCAATGAGTCTAGCACCAATATATTAGAATTGCGGCATTTCTGCCCCTTCCAGAGTTAGAAAATAATTTATAAAGGTGGTCTTAAATTGCTCCATAACTTCAAATCAGTACAATTCCCAACATACTCTCTAAGTCCTCTCCTCTCTGCCATGAGTAGCAACTGGGTCATCAGATAATTACAAGTACATAAATCAACCAGTGGCAATCCTGTTTACCCAAACAGCTCTGGGCTGCTGTACCTCGTGCCTAGGTTATTAAGGAAGGTACATTTTATTGCTTTCAATCAGTGCCTATCATTGCTCAATCCTATCCATTCACCACAAGACACAGGCTCTCTCCAAAGAAGCATCCCTCAGCCATCCTCAGATAAGCCCCAAGAAGTTGGGCAGATTTAGTAGGGGGTATGGGGGAGGTCATTTCTGTACCCCGCACATCAGCTGATTCTCATCAATATTCTCTTAGCCTGAGACTAAAGTCAAGATGAAACTGTATTCTCAACTCCTTAGGCTAAGTGAGAGTGAAATTTTTTTTTTTTCTGACACCTGTCAAGAAGACAGAACCTCTGTCTCCTCACTACGCCCCAAAATGCACCCTGGAAATGTTGCAGTAATGCACTGGCACCTGCCTAACAGGGTAAGAAATGCTTTTCTGGACTACAACACAGAGCTCTGGGAAAGGGAAAATGTGGAGAGTAGCTTTAAAGACCACAGACCATCATCTGCAGAAATGCTTGAATGGGGGAAGTGACTTCTGAGGAAAAGGTTGACTCAGCCCATGTGGAACCCTGGGACATCAACAAAGCTAGACTCAACTCCAGGGAGGCAGAGTTGTCTTCTGAGCAAGGCCACGCTGTTCCCAGGCAGGGATGGCTAAACAGAGGTAAGCATGGTCCTCCAGCATCTTCCTGACCAGGGATTTTCTACATGCAGAAATCCAGGGCAAGCTGTTACCATCCTCATCTCATAAACTGGTGGTCCATCTATTGATCTGCAGGGGTGGGGAGTGATGGGGGTAAAGCAGATTGGAGAGGCTTGTGGGAAAGAGAGGATGTTTTGTCCCTGTCAGTCTCACAGGATGTTCCTGCTGAGCTGTCATTCAAGGTCAGGTTCTGTAGGACTAAGTAATGAAAAGTATGGAAGGCTGGTCAAATGCCTATGAGGACCCCTCAGAAGTAGACCTTCCACCAGGCAGGTACTGATCAGTGAGCCAGTTTTTCCTGACTTGGGGAAGGGGGTATTAGAGAGCCATGAAGGCTTATGAAGAGAGAGGGAAATATTTGGAAGGGAGAGAAGAGGGAAAGAGCTAAGAGGAAGGAACATCTAGGAGGGACTTTGAACGTGCTGCACCTACCCCACCTCTCATCCCCAGAACCTCTGCCTGGCTCTCCAGCAACTTAATTTTTTTAAAAAAGATTTATTTATTTATGTATACAAGAGCTGGAGTACAGGCCAGAGGTAGAGGGGGTGAGAGGATTCACCAGAGACAGAGTGGGGAGCAGAACAGGCAGACTGACTGAAATACACTGCTGAGGGGAGCAGCGGGAGAGACGGGAGAGGTCCGCTGCACCATATGGGTAGCTCCCTGGCCGGGGATCAAACTCATGCTGCAGTGGCTGCGGATAGCTTCATAGGTTGTGTCTCAACCCCCTGCACCACCAGGGAGGACCTCCAGCAACTTAAACTTGCACATCTGTTGCATATTCTGCACTAGATCTCAGATAACCAGGGACATCCATCAGGCTCTGAGCTCCGCTACGTGTGCAATGACTCTGTTGTTGATCCATGGCTCATGTATGATTTTTGGTACACAAAGGGTAGGAACATGTCCCCCATGTCCCCCCAATACAGGCCCTGCCTTGCTGGGATCATGCCCTTGATTGTCCTGGGATACACATGCTGCACCTACCCTTCCTCTGGAAGGCCCTGGGAACTTGGCCTCAGCTAGTCAAGGGCTCTCTGTAGCCCTCCCAGATCCGTGTATACCTGCACCACCCCAGATCTGAGATCTGAATGACTCACAAGGAGAAGAGACAATGTGTACTGGCAAAGGCCATCCAACTAGACCAGAAACTTACCGGTAAATGCCCAAGGAGAGGTGTGATACTGTCAGAAACATAGAGGATGCTGCCGTCCGTCGTCACCGCGATAATGAAACCATCTAATGCCTGTGGAAATGCAATGGTGGAAGGCGGTTTAGTCATGCTTTTGTGGAGATGGCCCTGAAGCAAAGGATCCCATGCTATGACACTGACTTTGTTTATAACCCTTAAAATATTTCCATGAATAACCTGAGAGCATGTTTCTATCTTTTGAACATGATGGTTTCTCTCACAGAATTTGCCTAGTTCAAGTTAAAGTCTTGTAAAAGCACTAAAGGGCTCAGTGAAAAATCTGACCTGTCAGTATCATGAAACAAAATTTAGCCATGAAAATTACCTAAGTAGTTTTAATGATAAGCATATTATTGGCCTGGATCAGAAATAGCACAATGACCTTTAAAAATGTCACTGATATTTTATGGTCCTGATTCCCCTACCCACAATGCCACTTTGGGTCAACACTAAATATTAGCTAAAAGCTATCATACCTAATAGAGACATTAAAAAAGAAGTCTCTGTGTTGGTCAAGGCTGACCTCTGCCTTCATTCATTGCCATCAGAGAACTACCTCCTGAAGGAACTATTCACATGATTCCACAGAAGGAAGAGGTAAGGGGGTGTGTGTGCTGTGTAACCCAACTATTGATAAACCCTTAAATAGTTCATAATGTTTGAACAATCCATTCACTTAAAGTATTTACCGAGTGCCTGTGCATGACAGCACACTGCTCTGGGTGCTCGTGACAGAAAAGCACTGAGGCAGACACTGTTTTCTTCCAGACACATCTGAAAGTTGATTTCTAAAATTTAGACAAGGTAATTCAGTAGAGAATGGTGTTCTCTAGGCTAAATAAGTACAAGGAATGAGATGGAAGAGAGTAAAACTTTACCAGAAAGCAAACTGTTGAGGGAGGAGTGTAGGTAGGTCCACTTCCACTCTAAACCTGTCACTGTTACTGTTACTGTCATTGCACTATCATTCCACCCAAATAGAGGAATTTTTCTGCTTTGGAAAAAAGCCCCTGAAATTTGTACTTAGAAAGTTAACATTTGTATGCACTAAGCTAGATTCAGGGTGTTACTGAGAATCTGCATGGCCAAAAGTGCATCGATTCTTTCAAGTTAGGAAAATGTGGCTAAGCGCACCATAGCAGGAACGGAAATAGTGCACTGACTGCACACAGAACACCCCGAAAATGTGCCAAAGTGGGAGAGAATTCTTTTCACCAGGAAAATTAATACCAGCGTCACTTATTCTATTACTCAGAAATATTTAATACTATTTTTATTAATTAATTAAAATTTAATATAATTTAGTTTAATATATAATTAATGTAAAATTTAATATAGTTTAAAATAACTCAAAGCACATAGCTTAAGTGGATGGCAACCTTTTGGATTACATCAGTGGTTTTCAACTGGTGGCAATTTTGCCACAGGGAACTTCAGGCAAGGTCAGGAGAGGTTCTTTGGGTGAGCACTGAGGTGGGTGCTACTGGTGCAGAGTGGGTAAGGCCAAGGATGCTGGGAAACATCTTCCAATACACAGGATGCCCTTCACAACAAAGTATTATCTGGTCTAAATGTCAATAATACTGAGGTTGACAAACCCTGGATAGGATTTATGGGTCACAGTGAACATGGGCACATCCTTTTCACTTTGATTTCTTCTTCCCTCAAGTACTTTTCTAAATAGATTTTTAGGTTCTATTTGCAGTGCTTCTGGAAGTGAATTTTTTTATAAAGGTCATTTATTTATTTTTAATTAATTAATTTTAAATATATTTTTTACATCATTTTTCATTTTTGTACAATGTATGCATTTTCATCTTGGTTACAGTCTCTGTGACATTCCGTCCGCCCATTCACCCATGAACTATCACCATGGACCCTTGTGCTCTTCCCACCGTTGTTTTGATCCTACTCCCTTCTCTTCCCCTGCAGCATGTCTTTGGTTTATAGTTGCCTGTTGATTTTGATTTTTACTTTATTATAATTAGTTTTTTTTTTCTGATCCCATATTTGGATCCTCTACATTCCTGCAATAAGTGAGACCATCCGGTATTTTTCTTTTTCTTTCTGGCTTATTTCACTGAGCATGATCCCTTCCAGCTCCATCCATGTTGCTGCAAATGGCATGAGTTTATCTTTTTTGAGGTGAATTTTTTAAAAGAGGTGGGGATCCTGTTGATGATACCAGTAGGACCTTTTTGGAAAAGCAGATTAGAATACTGGGCAAAGCACATACAGATGATCTTCCTGCACAGGCAGCGCATACCCCTCCTGAATTGGAAGAGCAAGTGGGTGTTAAAAAACTAACGATATTTATAGATGGGAGATAACATTTATCAGCTCATTGGCATTTTCCATCAAGTGTACAAGAACTGTACTGAGTCACTGAAGTAAAAATGCTTTGCTATGGTTTTACAAGTTCCGTCAGCAGCATCTGAGAGTGACTCAATGGAACATGATCAGAGAGAGACGTGTAAAGGAGAGACACAAGACAGAAGATTCAGGACACCAGAGGTGCCACAGTGGCCCATGCTTTATACTTGCCACATATTCTGAATCTCATGGAATGTTTCTTTTATTTTCTAGGACAACATCTTGGTAAAGAGGAAAGATCACTGCAGCTTTTTTGCACAAAATTCAAAAATGCCACAAAGTCCCTAATCTCTGGTCACTAAGGACTTTTGCTCCTTTGGAGTTTACTGTCAAATGCTTGTAACCACACCTTTGCTAGACTGCATTTTAGTAGCTTGGCTGGCTTGCAGCAAAGTTATTTTTGTTCTTTCAAACTCTGGAATCTGGTTTGGGGCTTTCGTGATAGAAGAGGGAAGAAGGAGGGATTCATATCCACAGGGCACCAGAAATTCCATCTTCCAGGGCCTGACGGATTCTGTTTTTATTTAGAACAGGAACCCCTGGTTACCAAGACATGGCATCTGGATTCACATTTTCTATGAAATGTCTCTGAAAAAGGAGAAGGCTGTGCATCTGGAATTTGACACGCTATGAAGATGCCACATGGCGGACAGCAATGGCTTTATCCTGAGGGGGACCCTGCTGGGGCTCAGACATGGGGGGAGATATAGGAAGCTCCAGTATTTCACCACCAAGTCTATGTCTACTGAACAGCAACAGGTTGGAATAGAAGCCTCAGTCAGAGGCACATCAACAGTACCAATTGGTGCGTTTCTTGGACTCCTTAAAGCTGTAATTCCTCCAGAAAGCCCCCTTGGATAGGTTTGCTTTCGGGTCTAATCAACTAATCTGGTGTGCTTTCCTCCAGATCTGCTGCAAGGAGTCAGGACAGGGCAGGGCACACACACAATATCCACACAAATCTGAAATCTTTTTTCTAGAAATTCCTGTCACCTGAATCTTAGTCCTGCCTTTCAACCCAAATATTTATATTTACTTGTTTTTATTTTGTAATAATAGTCTTGTTTCCGCAAACACTTTTGATATCTTGAAAGTCACTGGAAGAAACTATTTGTGCTACAGGTTTTTAAAAAGAGGCTAGGTACTAGTGTATGTTTTAATTACAGTAAGTCTTTATTTAACATTTTCTTTAGATTCTTGGAAACTGTGACTTTGTGTAATGAAAGCAGGGCCTTGAAAAATTTTGTTTTGCTCAGTGTCTGTGGGGATTTTTTTTCTCCTCGAGGTTATAACGAAACAATGTTGAATGAGACATGAGATGACATTATTTGAGGACCTGCTGTACTTTTCCATAAGAATTAAAAGCTAAAATGATTTATGTAAAGTAGTATAATGATGCATTAATTCAACAATTTCACAAGCTGCTCTAAATTTAACATACTTAAAATGCATTGCTTCTGGAGAAAGTTCTGTATTTTCTTTAAATATAGTTCACATGTAGATTTAAGAATCTTTCATTTTATGCAAATGTTCATTAATGCGTTTATATTTCATAATATTTGGACATCTTCATTCTGGCATTTTCTTACTCCAGGACTTTCTGTTTTCTGCACAGTTAATCTATGTAAATTAAAGTTTACATCAGTCTTATATAGGCACATAAGATGAGATAGTGAAAGATTTTATCCCAAGAAGCTCCTCTCCAAAAGCCCTGCCAGGATCCTCTGCACGCAGCCCGAGTCTAACTTCCTTTTACTAAACTAACTGGTCCCAATTCTCTAGAACTCACTTGAGTGTCCGGACATGCCATGTCTGGGGCTTTCTCTCTCCCACTGTCATGTGCACACAGTCCTAGTCTTATCCCTAGTTTAGAAGTCAGAGCACTCAGCCAGCTGTTGCTGTGGGCTTGTCTACATTTATACAGAGGGGTTTCATCTACATATAAACATACGATCCAGGAACCCTGGGCTCAGTCAGATTTTCACAAGTCACCCCTGCCCATGGGTGGGGGCACCAAACTGTCCAAAGGAAGAAGCATGAACACAGGAAGGGGGAGTGCTGAGGAGACACAGGGTCGCTTAAGGTTGACACCCGCACACCATGTTGATATAATATGACCCCAAGTTAAAAGTCTAACTTAAAAAATACTTTTATTTTCAAAATGTATTCCGCAAAGGGAAGAAATAAAAGCATTACATTCTTAAGGTGAGATGCTCTGAATCAAATGGTAGTGCAGAGCTGCGATCTGCTCTCCTTCCTTCCCGTCACTACCTGTCTTCCAGCCCCAGCCCCACCAGTGTCCCCAGCTAGGTGTCCTCTGGTTGAGAAAACACGGAGTGAGTCCATCCTGCAGGCACTGTGGCAACTCACTCACATTCAGTTCAGGGATTCTTGCTTGTAGTTCCCAACTCAGTAGCCCTAATATAAGCTATTGCAGGCAAAGGGTTTCCATTACAAGACCACTTTCTAGGGTCCAGAACGACTGCTTACTTTGAGCCCAGAGTTTTATACGGAATAAGTAACTACAATTTAATTTGCAAATGATCAAACTAATTTGAAGCTGATTTTTACCTCCAACATCAGCTGAGTGAATTCTTCATTACTGAGAAATGAAGGCTTCCAGTCTTGCTGAATGTCACAGATTTCTGTTTGTGCTGAGACTTCTGAAAAAAAAAAAAAAAAAAAAAAAAAAAAGGCAAGTTTTTATATTTAAAAGCACCAAGAAATTGGAATTAGCAAAGAAGGCACATGTTACTTCTATGTAATTTTATGTGAATTTCTGTGTAGTTTAATAGACGCCAATATATGGAAATATCTTACCCTGATTCCAAGGGTTGGGAACTTTGGTTGTGATGGGCTTAAAAACACTTCCTGATATTTCCACATCCCTTTAATGATGCTTAGGGGAAGGAGAGTACCCCACCCTCTGCATGGGTGTAGTGTCAGTTACTTAACAGGTGGCACAATCCCCAGAATTGCTACATGATAAAAACCATGAGCAGTGGTTGGAGTTAAAACAGTTGCCACCTATCAGGGCAACAGGATAAAGATGAAAGATTGGGTTGGTGGGGCACATTTTTAAGCAGCTTCTTCATGGTTAAGGTGAAGCAAAAACACTTCGACAACATGGAATTTTCAAAATTCCAGAAACATCTTGTGGTAAATAACCTACTTAGTCTATGAAGAAAAAAATGTGGTTTTTTTTTTCATCATTTCCAGTTACTGAAGTAGTAGTATGTGCTACATAAGCACATGTGATTTAGCTGCTTTGAAGGTCAGAATTTCCTTTTCTCAAAAGTTTTTTGGGCTAATCTCTGGTTAGATAGATTCACAGAACTATCTTGCACTGCAGATAAAACAAATAGTCATTGGCCTATCTGGAATGCCTTCAGAACACTTGTTCTTTTGCCTTTTTTGAATGAACGCTGTATTTTATTGCTGAAATATACCTGAGATTATTACAATAGTTCAACTGCTATACAGAATATATTTGTTTTTCCTACCATTTAGCTTGTTATCTTTAAAATAACCATTTTGCTCACTTTATACAGTAAGAGGAAAGTTGCTTTAGGGATTATTTCTTTGGTGCTATGAAAAGCCAAAGTGTCTGTGATTTTATCTTCTACCTCAAAGGAACTTCAACAACTTGCTGGAAAATTGTTCAAGCAGATAATCTATAAACTTTAAACATTTAAAGTTTTCTTTGCTGACCCTGGTTGCTAGTAGTCTTTCTTACATGGGGCTTGGAGAATGCATCCTGCTACCCAAGTGAACGAATATGAATGAATTCATCGGTTACTTGTGAAAGAAGTTAATGAGAAGGGCTGAGCTACATGTGTGACTACAGAAGTCTTCACATGCTCAGTCACCCAACATTCCCTGCAATGCTCAGCTCTACCAGGAAGGTTTCTCCCATCTTTATTTCAGGAAGAACAAGTTGTTGCTATTAAACAAAATTGGATTTTTGTGTTCCTTTAAAGGAACACAAATGAGCCACTCACAGTCCCTGGTCACAGAATACAGGAAGCAACCCAGCAGATGGTCAGTCAACAGCACTGATGAGGGCCAGCAGATGGGACCTCACAGCTGGGTGCCCCTGTGGCCAGAGTCTGCACTTGGCACAATGTATGCTGGGAAGCAGAGGTTGTGCACTCACAAATCTGGGTCAGAGTTCATCCTGGGGTATCAGCTGAGACAAGGATGAAAGGGTGAGATTTCCAATAGTCCCTCAGACAATTGGTTGCCACAGTTTGACCAGTTAGAAATGACCAGAGAAATGCAAACAAATTAACTCTATCAATGCTTTCCTCTCTTTCCCAACATATGCAGCCATCTGTGAGATTCTTTTTGACTTTTGGGATCAAACTATAGGTTAACTGCTTGTCCAGGCAAGAGTCTTTCCAGCAGCTCAAATTTGATTAGCGCACCATTAGAATTAATGTGAAAGAAAATTAAAGGCCCATTTAAGTAACTTTACATCATTTGATATGACTAGATATTTTCTAATCAACAGTGTAACAATACTGAAAACTGCCATTTCATTCACTGTACAATTCAACAATTTGCTTATAGTTCTTGGAAGTTAAGGCTGAATTCATAACAAGTTAAAAACATGTTAAAGCAAATGTCTCAAAGCAAGTTAAAAATGTGAAACTGAGAAATAAAATTCAGTGTTACAAACACTTCTTCATAGGTATTTGATGTGATTAATATCATAAACTAAAGATTACAGGGTAGGATTAGCAAAGAGGTGTGGTCAAATAGCAAGGGAAACAAAACCATTCTGGGGATAATTTTTGTAGAAAGAATTTCAATTAACAGTTGAACCCCACTGCTGTAGAATAAATTGTGGTTGAGCCCTAGAAAGTTTGCCTCCCCATTGCTCCTGATATATGTAAATAAGAAGCAGTATATTTTTGGGCTGCTTGTGGTCAAAGAAAAGTCTGGAAAATGGGTCGGAAACTATTTGCTGGGCTGTGTAAATACTACTGTGTCCAACAGGGACAGTGCTCTGCAGCCTTCTCCACCCCACCTCCGTCCACTGAGGTAGACGTGTTGAAGGTCATGAATAAGGAATGGGATTTGATATTGGGAAAAAATTATATTAAATCAGCTTGAGGAAGAGGAAAGCACACAGATCAGCCTGGCCCTGAAGAAGGAACATTTAAATGAGCATGGATATGGATGTCTAATATGCCTTGCTATTTACATAATTTAAGGGTTTCTCTCTTATAATAGATACTGCTGACACAAAATTTCTCTACAAAGAAACATGGTGAGATTCTCATTTTGAGTTGGATTACTTCAAAGAGAATAGTATGCATTCCAGGATCAAGATTGAGCCCCCAAGATGAGAAAATAGGGATGCTTGAAAGATTATTTAGGAAAGAGCTAAATATTTATAACGTCTACCCGGACCTAATCATCCTTCCCTATTTATCGTCTGGCATCCCTCAAGCATGAAGGCAGTAAGCATGTCTAAATTCACAGTTCTTATTCCTGGCTGCACACTGCAATCACCTGGGGAGCTTTAAAAGCATTGCTGCCTGGGCCTTACCCAGTGGTGTGCTGATAAACGACTCTCCACTCCTGAAACAGAAATCCAGATGGGTGGTGTCTACCCATTTCTCTGGCATAAGTACTCCCACCGTGAAGTTTATAATCGACCAATTGGAGGTCAAATGTCTTGCAAAACTTCTGAAAATTTAACAGTCACCTTTTGTAAGCTGGTACCAGTGAGGTCCAGCTCACAATATGTATTTTAAAAGCACCTCAGATGATTCTAATGGGCAGCAAGGATGAGAACCAGTAGTCTAAATGGTCCACTAATGAACACCTGACATGGCACAGCTATAATACAATATCTTAAGGGGCCCATGAGTCACCTCTTATGGAGAAGCAGTGTGGTGTTGTGATAAAAACTTGGGCTCTTGAAACATACTGCCTGGTATAGATTCCACATCTTCCTGCCTGTGACTTGGGTGAGAGGCCAGCATTTCTGTGCCTCAGTTGCTTCATCTGTGAAAGGGTTCTAATTCAAAGGTTACTGTGAAGCGCAGATGAGTTACTATATGTACAGTCCTTTGAACAATGCCTGGCTCATGATGGGCCCTGAATTAACACTGACCATATTATCCTCTACCCAACTGAAGATGCTTGTTGGAGTTCATGTCCATTTGGATTATAAGCAAAGAAAAGTTACTGTGGGTTTTGTTTTTGCTTTAATCCAATTTTTGGTCTAACCAATAATATATCTTTATAAAATCTGCTATGGATTTTTTTTCCAAATATGGAGTCAGCAAGGATGAGTGAGATCCTGGCATGATCCTGGTTGCATTTAAGTGGGCTCTACAGAGTATGCCTTCATCTTATGAAAAGGGCGAGATGGAGAAAGTTGCTCCTGAGGAGGCTGCATTTCTGCTGACTGATACTTTCCAGGTCCCAGATTTGATAATTCTATAATTCCACAGTGGAGAGAGCCCAGCATAAATGTCACACTGATGAACTTGATCCCAGTTGTCCTATTTAACAGCTGTCCTGCTTCTCAGTGGCACTGACCTAGTTTGAGTAATTTGAACAAAACATCTTGGTAATGAAATCAACCTGCTATTTTACTTGGCTAAATCATTATTAGGAAATATAACCATTCTGATTATATTATTGGGACAATCAAATAGTGCTGCAAGACTTTATTCCAACTTTATTCCTTCTTGTTCTTCCCTTTCAACAAAAGCAATTAATATTTTCTTTACTCTCCCCTGGGTAGCTTTGGGGAAGGGGGAGAAAAGGCTTTATCGTTACTGTCACATTTTAATAGGTATATACAATTATTAAAGAAATGGTAAAAGAATCACAAGTATAATGAAACTTTCCAGTGTCCCAGCAGTGCCCTTCTCCATGAAATCATCTTGTCTAGGAAAATGTGCAGTGAAAGAGAAGCATCACTGAAAGCACAGAAGAATTGTAATTATCTCCTCAATAATCTGACATTTCTGACTTTATTATGTTTAGTGTCATGGTTAAGGAAAAAGGAATTGGCTCTTCTTGCTAGTTAATAGCTACTGAACCCTCTTATCTACCCTCCAATATTTTTTGTGTACCATTCATAGGTGAGTGGCAGGGCAGGGTAGTCAGTACTAAGAGGTAAAAGGGGTTGAGGGAGAGTAAAAAGAAGAGACCATCATTTGAAAAAGACGTAAGTTCAAGGATGGATTCAATAGTAAGTTCATATTATAGGATGCACTATACCAATGAAAAAGAACTGGCCACAGCACTGGATGAACACAGACTAATCTCACAGACATCATGTTCATTACATTTGATTCCTTCTGAGTAAGTCCCACAGGCAAAATCAATCTGTGGTATGTGAACTCAGAATAGAAATTAGCTTAGGGGAAAGCAGAGGTAGATAGGAAAGGGTATCTATTGGGGAAGTTTCTATTTCTTGACATGGGTGTTAGTTTCCAGCTGTGTTTCCTTTGTGGTAACTAATTTAACTGTGACTAGTGTATTTTCTGCTTGTATGTTACACTTTTATAAAATATTAAAATTTTTAAAAAATGAATGGAATACTGGGATAACTGGTTATCTACAAACAAAAGGATGGATTATGACTCCCTACTTTACTCCATATATAGAAGTTAACTCAAAAGGGATCAAACATTGAAATGTTCTATGTATAGTTTTTACCTAAATGCTTAAAACTAAAAACTCTTAGAAGAAAATATAGGTATAAATATTCATGGTCTTAGGTTAGACAATGGTTTCTTAGATGTGATAGATCTAAGGCGCACACAATCACCAACAAGATTAATTGGATTTCATCAAACTTAAAACTATTGTGTGTTTAATACACACAATACATCATTACATCATTAAGTACATCATTAAGGAAGTGAAAAGACAACATACAGAACAGGGGAAATATTTGCAAATTATATGTCTGGTAAGGGTCTAGAATCCAAAATATGTAAGGAACATTTACAATTCAACAAAAACAATAAACAATCCATTTTTAAAAATTGGGTGAGGAATCTGAACAGATGTTTTTCTAAAGTACACATACAAATGGCCATGAAAAGTTCAAAATTTGAGTTATCAGGGAAATTCAAATGAAAAACACAATGAGATATCTCTTCCTATCCAGTAGATAACACACACACACACACACACACACACACACACACACACACTCTCACTATTAAGTGTATGTGAGGATGTGGCAACCTCATACATTACTGCTGAAAATGTTAAATGGTACAGCTGCTGTATAAAACAATGTGGCAGTTCCTCAAATGTGAGGTGCCATTTGACCGAGCAATTCTGCCACACGTTTATACTCAAGAGAATTAAAAAATATACATCCACTCAAAAACTTGAACATGAATGTTAGTAGCAGTGTTATTTATAATATCCAAAAAGTGGGGACTGTCCAAATATCCATCAGCTGACAAATATGACAAAAATGGAATGAAATACCAATACTTGTTAAAATATGGATGCTAAATGAAAGAAGCCAGGAACAAAAGACCATTTGTATGAAATGCCTAGAACAAGCAAACCTAGAGAGACAGAAAGTAGATTATCAGTTGCCAGGTTCTGGAGGGTGGGGGAAATGGGAAGTGACTGCTAATAGGTATGCAGTTTCTTTTGGGATGAGCAAATTAAATAGTATGACGGACAGTTTTGTAAAATAATAAAGCCCACTGGATTATACATTTTAAAAATGGTAAATTTTTTGTATGTGAATTATATACCAATAAAGTATGGACTTGAAATTAAGTAAATTATTTACAATTTATTTTTTTCTCATACTGTAGCACAGAAGGCCAAGGTGATTAGGGATGGTGGCAGAGATAGATGGAGTTACCAGTATAGTCTGACCAGAAGGAAATGAACACTCGGACACTGCATAAAAATGCTTGCTCCAGACATTTTTAATTAAGACACTCCTACTGTTAACACCACCCCATCTGGGTGCTACCTATAAGGTGACTCGGATTGTCACCTCTGACAATTAAAAAAGTGTCCGCTCCCAAACCTGCTGGAGATGGAGCTATCTTCGAGGGTGGAGTGCCTTTGAAAAAGGAGGCCTATGACTGGTGAGACTGGGCATTGCTGGGGACAGGAACCAAGCAGAAAGACTAGTTTGATGAGGTCATAGCCAAATGCAAAGGGCAGGAACAGAACACAAATGATGAGAAGCATAACCTTTACCATTATGTTTCTGCAAAAATCCGATGACCTTCTCCAGCACAGTGGTTTTGTCCATTTTCCGTGTGTTGCCAGGGAGCATGGAGCTAAGTTCTTTGATGAGCACATTGAACTGGTCCCGACGCTTCTTCTCAGACTTATTTCGAGAAGCTCTGTAAACACAAAATGCACAGATTATCGGAACATTCCACTTCATAAAGACTTCATTAGGAAATGGAGGTACTTCCTATCAGAGGGTATTCTATTGGGATCATCTTATCAAAACACTTCAGAGAAAGTAACATTCATCACATTTCAAAGCTGAGTAATGGGAACACAAAAATGTTTTGCTGGAGTCTTGGCCACACAGAAAGATTTAATAAGGAAGCTCTGACTCAGATGCAAAATCTTACATAGGTTGGCGCTGTCTTCAGGTGCTGCTCACTCTGTCTTTGCAGCACAAACAACATGCTGTTTATGAAGGTGGCTGCCTGCAGCCAGAGGGGTTCACGCTAACAGCCTTCTTTGGGCTCAAACTAGGTCCCCGCCCACCCAGAGCACCCAGCCTCTGGTGCCAAGTCATGAGGACTGGCTAAGTGTTCTAAGTATCCAGCAGAGAGCCAGGTCCTCCCAGACCACATGTCTTGGCTACTCCCCAGAGTGTTTCATGTTGTTGGGGAGACAAGACACCCCACATAAAACTATCTCTGAGCTGAGCCCAATCCAGGGCCCACATATGACAGGCCGCATGCACAGGGTTGTCAAGCTGCTAAGAGCAGCTGAACCTCTTCGAAAATGACATGAAAGAAACTTACATGAAAATTACTAAGTGGAAGAAACCAATCTGAGAGGCTATACATTGTGTGATTCCAACTATGTGATGTTCTGGAAAAGGCAAAACTATGGCAATTGTAAGGAGTTCAGTGGTTGCCAGCGGTGGAGGCAGGGGAGAGAAGAAATAGCTGCAGCACAGAGGGCTGTTAGGGCACTAAAACTGCTGTGTGAGGCATGCTAATGATGGAGACATGTCCCACATTTGTCCCACAGAATGTACCTCACCAAGAATGGAACCTAATGTAAAAACTGGACTCTGGGTGATAATGATATATCAGTGCAGGTTCATCAACTGTATCAAATGTATCACATTCCATTTGATAATGTGATGGGGATGTTGATCATGGGGGAGGCTATGATGTATACGGACAGGAGGTATGTGGGAAATCTCTGTACCTTTTGTTCAATTTTGCTCTAAACCTAAAACTGCTCTTTAGAAAAATTAGGCCATTAAAAAGTGACATACTACACTGCACACATATAGAAAGATTGGAGAGGAGCTTCTCGGCTTGAGGGGAAAGCCATCTCCCCCAAGCCACCAAGGCACCTCTGAGGAATCATAAGATGCTGAGAACTTGAATGGGGAAACCACAAGTGTGGGGACCACTCCACTAGCCAACCCATCCAGGACACCTGACCCTGGAAGTGGCCCTCACTCTCAGGAAGCTGGGGTGTCAAGGCCCAGAGTTGTCTCACAGTCACAAGGCCCAGACCCTCATGTACAGCTTATTCAAAGGAGAGATGGTGGGCTGGAAAAACTCAACCACCCCTCCCAAATTCACCCAGGACAGATTTGTTCTAGAAAATCAGCTCAGTGAGAGAGAATCCAGGGGCCACTGCTGCTGGGCAGGCCCTGGACCTGGGATCAAGTCCAGGGGAAACGAATCACTCCTGGGGAAACGAATCACTCATCAGGAAGCCACTGGTAATTATCCAGCAGGACACAGTGCTGGTGACTTACGACAACTCAACAAGTTCCCAGCACAAGGATGCACCGTTCCTGGGGAAGGTATCAGTAGCCATAGGTGTTCATATCAATAAAGACTCTGCTTCCCCAAACTGCCCTTGGAAACACAGGAACACATTCCAAATAGCCTTTCCGAGACGCCAAGGTGAATTAAGTCCTGTTTGCCTCTGCCTAATTACACACACCCTGACTTGATCTCAACACACCCATTTACAAAGAATCTTTGATGATTCTCTTTCAGTACGGGCTGTTTTCTGGTAATACCTGAGGTCTCCTTTAAAGCTTGCCTAAAGTGTATGGTCATGCTCCTCTTTCTAACTTTGCCTTACTCCTACTTCTTCTTGGATGTTTGGGAAGACCTGAAATTCTTAAGGGGTTTCTACAAAGGTCTGGCTCCTGGCTGGAGAAACTCTTCACATTTGTTCTCTTTCCCAGTTAGAGACTCACTGTAGGTGTATCAGCAAGATGCTGAGCTGCCTTTTTTTGCCTGTCCAGGGTAAAAAGCAGTGTTCAAACACATGGGAGAGAAGAAAGGAACCTTTTAACTTTCTGAGCGACTGTCTATGCATTATAAATAATTTTTTGGCCTAGATTTTAAAGAATGACATGCAACCTCCTTAGCCAAAAAAAGCTCTGTTCCTGTCCTAGTTTGCCCATTATAAATTATTTGTGAGCCGATAACACCCGGCTCATTATTACTCTGTTCTCTTCTTCAATGGGTGTAATGACAATGAACATGGCCTGGCAGAGAAGACGACGAAGACTTATATCATTAGTGACAGAAACACAAGCCTGTTTCTGTCAGCCTCTGCCTGGGACACACTATGGTGCCCACTGGAAATCGGTCATTGTCAGCTGGATCCGCAGCTCTGAGGCAAGAGAAAGAAAACGAGCATAGAATGACCTTATTTCCCATAAGGAGGGCAGTGGGCAGGTTCTGAAACCACCAACCATGAGGCACTGGGACAACAGGTTAGAAGACATTCAAACATCTTTTAAGGCATTATTGACAATGAGTTAAATTCATCCATGTTAAATGTAAGTTTGAGGGATTTGAGTAATTGTGTATTCACCACCTAAAACCAGAAATAACACAATATAACGCTATTCTCTCATCCTAAAAGGTTTGATTCTGTATCTTTTATTGTTGATCTTCTTCCCTTCACTACAGGAAACCAGTGAAGTGCTGTTGCCTTAGTTTTGCCTTTTCTGGAATCCTATAAATGGAATCAGACAGTATACAGTCTTGACTTCCATTTAGCATCCAATTTTTGAGACTTTCCCCTTTTTACATATATTAATCTTGCAATCCTTTTGACTGCCGACTAGTATTCCATTGCATGAGGATGCCATAACACTTGGGTTGTTTCTAGTGGGGGTATTAAGAATAATGCTATTATGAACATTCATATTTGTGTCTTTGTGTAGACATACACATTTATTTCTCATGGGCAAATACACATCCAAGAGAAGTGGAATTTCACTATGAAATTGCTGGGTTATCTGATAGAAGAATGTTTAATGTTATAAGACACTGCCATACTGTTACACAAGGTGGTTGAACCATTTTTACATTTTCACCAGCAGCATAAGACAACTCCACTTGCTCCACTTCGATACCAACACTTGGTAATGCCAGTCTTTTTTTCACTTTAGCCATTGTAGTATTATTTCTTTGTGATTTAGTGTGCATTTTTTGATAACTAGTGATGTGGAACACCTTTTCACATGCTTACTGTCCTTACATATTGCTTCTTCTGCAAAGTGTTTGTTCAAATCTTTTGCCTGTTTTCCAACCAGGCTGTCTGTTTTCTTATTGAGTTTGGGGGGGGGGGAGTGTTAGGAGGGGGTTAGGAGGGAGGGGTGGTACATGTGTGTGTTTTAAAAATATATTGCCACAAGCCTCACCCTTTGATTTTTGAATGCAGAGTTTGTAGAGCCCCAGGTTATCTCTTCTGAGGTCTGTCATGGTACCCAGACAACATCTACTGGGCACTTACAATGTAGAAGCAACTATTTGAAGTACTTTACATGTATTAATTCATCATTCCCATTTCACAGGTGATAAAGTCGAGACACTGAGTGCTTATATATCTCACTGACCAATGCCACAAGACCAGGAAGTCGTAGAGCACTAGGGTTCCTAGTCTGGGAAGCATTGCCTTCTACCTCCTTTTACAGCTTCCTCCAAAACCATCTATGTCAGGGTCTATTTTGGAGTTATACACCAGTGCTCTGGGAGAACAGAAATGAAAGTGACATACTGTGCTGTTTGAGTTTATAGCATAGAAACAAAACATACTCTCTGGAAAAATGGCACTACATTGCAAAGAGAATGATGGTGTTTGTGTTCCAGGAGGGATTCTGCAGAAAAACCAAAGAAAGATTTCATATCCAGCTCCTAAGCAGCCCCTCAACTTCCATGATCATCTGTTGTTGTTGGTATAGCTACACCTCACCAAATATTTCTGGTTTCCTTCTAGACAAAGTAGGACTGAATTTCTCTGCCCAAGAAGTAAGGGGTGGCCACAGGACTTGCTTTGGCAAGGAATGTAGGCACACCAGTCAAATGTCTTCTCCAAGTATAAGCTAAAGAGTTAGTATAAAATCTGTCAAATTCCTTTTCCCTGCTTTGGGAACGGAAGAGGTGAAGCCTCTCTCAGCCCAGGTCCCCGAGTGAGGATGTATTACAGCAAAAGTTCAGTCAACTTGTGATGAACAGGTAGGATTTATTGAGACTTGGGGAATGTTTGTTACAGCAGCCCAACAGCCGATCTGGATGGGAAGTGTGGGGATTGAGGCAGAAAGTCACACAGGGTATAAATCAGGGATCCCTTTTTTTCAGTGACTATGGACAGACCATGGAGGGGAAAACAATCAGGTCACCTTCCAGGCACCATATCTGGCAGCACAAGGGCTTCCTACACTTCTGGCTTGAGGGTTCCCCAGGTAGAAGCAATTATATCCTTGTTCTATATCCTTACATTAGCCCCTTCTGTGCACGAGACATCCCACCAAGTAACATGGGGAAGTCAAAATGACCAGGTCTTGACACCCAACTCAAAAAAACTTAGAGTCTAGAGGAAGAGATGGAACTCACATGTTAAGAGCTCTTGCACAAGGTGCAATGTGATACGGGTGAGGTGAGAGGTTGAAACATATGGCTAAGGGAATTCATGAAGGAAAGAATTGGTCGTGAGAAGTAGGCAGAGAAGCCCTTAGGGAGGTGCCTTGAGCGGTGAATGGCAGGTCACCCATGGATAGCTGTAGGAAGAGCTGAGTGGTCGAGTCTGACAGAAGAGTTGGGGGCAGGTGGGAGGCTAGAGAGTAGATAAGAAGAGCAAGGCCAACCACAGCGTCTGCAAAGCCAGA